TTCGATCTTAGAAATCAAATCAAAAATAGTCATTCAAAAACTCACAATTATACAAAATCGTATTTTATGACCTAAATCAATATATGCAATAATATATCTCATACAATGGTATGCGATCTCAGATAAATTCTCATATACTCTGGAGTCGATATCTGCTCAATCCGCAATAACTAAAAGACAAATTCTGTCGGCTGTAGCGAAACTTTTTGACCCCGCAGGATGGCTTTCGCCAATTATGATACAAGCGAAAATCCTGATACAAGAATTATGGCTAGACGGAACCGACAGGGACGAGCAAGTAAAACCACTTCGCTTTGTAAAATGGTCCCAATTTGCTAACAACTTGCACGCTATTGCAGAGATACAAATCCCTAGATGGGTAAACTACTCCCCCGAATACCAAGTAGAACTGCATGGCTTCTGCGACGCCTCTGAAAAGGCATATTGCGCAACTATATATGTGCGCACCCAAATTAACAGCACAATTTCAAGCCATTTGTTAGTAGCAAAAGCCAAAGTGGCACCTCTCAAAACACTAAGTCTACCACGACTTGAACTGTGTGGCGAGCTTCTACTCGCAAAATTAGCGTCAACTGTGCAAACGCATTTAAATATGACCAGTCAAAAATTATATCTATGGTCAGACTCAGAGATCGTCTTAGCTTGGTTAGAAAAACCACCCCACTCATGGAAAACATATGTTTCCAACCGCACAGCCCAAATACTTGATTTAGTTGGGCCGGCAACTTGGCGGCATGTAGCCAGTGCTGATGACCCCGCCGATCTTGGCACAAGAGGTTGCAAACCCTTGCACCTCGCCACCACCTCACTCTGGTGGAACGGCTCCAGCTGGCTAATAGAATCGCAACAATTCTGGCCACAATCCCCCATACGCAACATAATTGCCCTAGAAAGTCGAAAAGTTGAAACCTTTCACACAATACTGGATGACAATGACATACTAGAATGATTTTCCTCGTTCCCCCGTGCCCTAAAGGTAGTCGCCTATATGTTTAAATTCGTAGAGCGCCTCAAAAATAAGGTGAAGAAAACACCGAATTCCCCAGATAACATGTTAACGCATCAAGACCTGCAAAAAGCAAAGGTTTCCCTTGTTGCATACACTCAAACGCGCTATTTCAGCCGCGAAATATTACTGCTAAGAGAATCAAAACCAATTGATAAAAAGAGTCAACTCTTAGTACTCAATCCATTTTTAGACACGAAAGGTCTGCTTCGTGCTAATGGACGGCTAGCGAACTCCAGCCTCCCATATAACGAACGCCACCCCATAATAATACCAGAGAAATCCTCATTTGCAACACTATACCTCAGATTTCTCCACTTATTAATGCTACATGCCGAACATCGCCTCATGCAACAAATGGTCCGACAAGAATATTATATTCCACGACTAAAGCCACAGATCAAAAAATGCATATTTATGTGTAAAGTCTGCACTATACATAAGCAGAAGATGCGCACGCAGATCATGGCAGCTCTTCCACCTGAACGCTGCACTTTCGCTCTGCCCTTCACTACCACTGGTGTTGACTTTGCTGGGCCTTTCCAGATAAAGGCTTCCATGTTAAGGACTTCAACCTTTACGAAGGGTTATGTGGCTGTCTTTGTATGCTTTACGACAAAGGCAGTACACCTCGAGCTATGTTCTGATCTGACCACTGCGGCTTTTCTCGCGGCATTTGCTCGCTTCGTCGGACGGCGAGGATTTCCATCCAAAATAATGAGCGACAATGGAAAAACCTTTGTCGGAGCCAAAAGAGCCACTGAAAACCAGTTTGTAAAATTTATAGAGGAAGTCTCGCCTGAAATCGTTCAAAAATACGCACTCCAAGGCATTGATTGGCAATTTATCCCACCAAGTGCTCCACATATGGGGGGTCTCTGGGAATCCGCTGTAAAAAGCTTCAAAACACATTTTAAAAAAGTCGCTGGCTCACACAAATTTAACTTTGAAGAATTTACTACATTATTAACCCGAATAGAAGCCGTTCTTAACTCACGGCCCCTCTCTGCGCTCTCGCAAGATCCCTCCGATTTCACTGCTCTCACCCCTGGTCATTTTCTTAGAGGAGCTCCACTTCTGGCAATACCCGAACCAGACGAGCAATCCTTATCTCTTATGAATCGATGGGAACGAATGAAAATTCTCCATCATGAATTCAGTCGTAGTTGGAAGGAAGATTATTTAAAAGACCTCCATAAAAGATATAGATGGAAGAACACTCAAGAGGAGCCTAAAATCGGAGAATGTGTTCTCATCCACGATGATTGTCTTCCCCCCACCGAGTGGCGCCTCGCAAGAATCGACAAACTACATCGTGGCT